CTAAGCTGTTTCACTCTGCAGTTCACCTGACCCTAAATACTGCTACTGATACATTTTCAGAAGCATTAAATTCACATCAGTCGGAAAAGTAGTCTCCCTGGCTTAGGGACAGAGAGATCAAGATATGGAGTTACAGCTGCCAAACTCTCCCATAGCATAATGATATATTAAAAAAAGAAAAAAGAAAGTGTCATATTTTCATACCCACAGATTGTACTTCTGAAAACCACCTTCTTACTATTTTGTGAGAGTAAACCATCAGATAACTCTCAGGTTATTTCTGCTTGCAAATTATGTTCATGAAGACATGGTATTTTCTAAGTAAAGCAGAGCAAATGGTTGACCAGGCACACTTGCTACTGACATAGATATCTTTTCTCATTTGTTGAGTCCTCTTTTTGTGATGGTACAATTTTCGTCCACCTTATTCCTGCTTTTAGTCCTTATTGATAAGTAAAATGGTTGGGTAAGAAATGAGATGCCCATGACCGAGGTTAGTTCTGCTGCAAGAGAAATACTAGTGAAGGGCATGGTTAACCCAAAGATGTAGGAGAAAGTGATGCTACGATAACCTGTCTTCAGTTCTCTATATTTGTCTGTGACACTGGATGCTACTCAGTGTCAGGATCCTTTTTTCCCTTTAATTTTAAGATAATAGTTATACCATGAAAATACAGTCTGTATTCACAAATGTTGGAAATATTTTCCTCTCTAAAGCAGAAAAGGTGCATGGATACATCCTGCACTGCTTTAGATCCCATCCTCCACAGTGAGCGTGAGGAGGTTCTTTTCCTCTCTGTGTGCTCACCGTTGAGACTGCTGTAGGCTTGCTCTCAGCAGAGGATCTGTACATCACCCAGCTGACTAATTGGGAAGAGTTGTTCCTGATTTTATAAAAGCTGAATGTGTATGCAGCTGAGATGGTGATCCCCAGATTTGTCGTCATACATAAAAGCATGAAGCAATACATTGTGAGGGGTCATCAAGGTCCATGACAAAACTGGAGAAGAGCATGCAATCAGCTTCAAACCCTGTCTTTACATGGAGTTATACTCTTTTTCAGATTAAGCATACCTGCCCAAGGAAAATGTGTTGGTTATACAAACTAATCTTCAGGCTCTCAGAACAGATGTGTACTCTCTCAGCTGCTGTCTTCAGCAGCAGGAAGTTTGGGAAAATTTCAAGAGACAAACAAGTGAGATGCCCCAATTATTTTCCTCTCTTAGAGTTTGCATTTATGTATTTACACCTTTCTTCTACTGCAATTGTTTATAGAGCATTCCTGTGCGAACACTAGTGCCAATGGAAAAACACATTTTAGTTGCAGTGTGATCAGAAACAACTGTTTCTCATTCTGAATGTATGTGAAAACTTTCTTAGCTATGAGGTGACAATCAGTGATCTATGAAATGAATGTTCATTAGGCTGGCACATGAGCTTCTGAAAAAGCTGTAGTTAAATACCTTTATTTGGACAGATGCTTTACATAACTATGAATTATTTTTAAACATAAGCAAAAAATGACAAAATATTAAAGAAGAATGTTCTCTCTTAGATGATGTTTTCTATGGAAAAATGAGAAGCAAAGAACTTGTTCACTGTTTATGATCTGATCAATTGGTAAACAATTTGTATAGGTAATGACTGAATTATCAAACAACTGGAATGAGTGGTCCTTTTAACATAATCTGTGTATTATTTCTTTACTGTGGCAAAGTTATGAGAACTCTCTAAAGTATGAGAAACATCTTAAAGGCAGCAACAACTGGAGAGACCTTTGAAGATACTTACATCACTTTCATGGCCTTCTCTTAGATTGTATGTGAGATCATGCTGTATGTCTTCAACAAACTTGTGAGCATACTCTGGGTAAAGGTCAAGCACTTCAAAGAGACCTTTGAGGATAATGCATTGGAGGTCACAGTATGTTAGAGCTTTAACATCTGCATTTGTTTTAATAACTTGATCCCTAATGGATAGGTTTGCTCCAATTAAATCTCCTTTACCTGAAAGAAAATACAAAAATAATCACCTTCAAAGTATGAATTCTTTACTTCTTTTTTGAATCATAAATTTGTTTAACATAATTGCTAAATCTTAAATTCCACTGTTACCACTGCATTGTTTAATTAATAACATTGTAAATTATAAAGGATCTTTCACTAAAAGTTGTCTTTTTTTTTTTTTTTTCTGCACGTGCAGTCTTATATGCAATTAATCAGAGGTTCAAAGACTAATTTCTAGACAGGTAACTACCTGATTTAGGGGAACAATCAAATAAATATATAAAAAATTAAGATTTACACTAGTAATTAGTAGCAGGTGCAATTTTGTTTTTCAGAATGTGAACATTATGTTTCTAGCCTGGGGTTTATTTTGTTAGAAAAGACAAGTGTTAAGATAGCATTTTAACAATGACACGATTAAATGTAGATTGTCCGTTCAAATTACCCTTTTACTTAGAATTTAGATTGCAAAACATTCACAGTCTATGATAACTGTGGCTGCACAGCTACATTCCATGATGCTTGTTAGCTGTATAGGCTATTAATAGATGTGTAGCTCAATGGCCCTTCTGTCAAGAAAAAAGAATGGATTCTTAAGCCATTGTATTTTCATTTATGGGCAAGGCTGCCTTAGAATACTGGTTGTATTAAAACCCACAACTGACCGTATGTTGAAGAGCACAAAAATTTTGTAATGAAAAACTTCCATAGATATCTAATCTGAGGTATAAAGTCCAAAAAGCAGTCATTGAACAACAGGTCTTCCACAAAAGTTAATGCAAATGGTCTTTGTTAAAGACCTGGACAGTGTGATGGAGTGTATTATTTTTTTTCTTTTTTGGGGCGGGGGCAATACCAAATTGGGCAGAGTGGTTGATATGCTGAAGGGCAAAGTGCAGGGGGACCTCAATGAATGAGAAAAGTGCTGTTGGGGACCTAGTGAAGTTCAACAAGAACAAATGGCAAGTCCTGCCCCTGGGGTGGAAAACCTCTCTGCAGCAATATGGGCTGGGGTCTGACCAGCTGGAAAACAACTCTCCAGGAAAGGACCTGGGGGTCCTGTGGACAAGTTGAACATGAGCCAACAATGTGCCCTTGCAGTTAAGATGTCCAAGAACCTCTTGTGCAGCATCAGCAAGTGCAGCCAGCAAGTCCCAGGAAGTTTCCCTCTATATGTCACTTGTCATACCACATCTGGAGAATTCTGTCCAGTTTTGGGTTTCCCATTACAAGACAGAATATTGACATACTAGAGTGAGTCCAGAAGAGGCCACCAAGACGATCAGGGACTGGAGAACATAATATACAAGGAAAGGCTGAAAAAAATGGGTAATGTTCCACCTTAAGAAGAGAAGGTAAAAGAAGGCTATTATTGCTGTCTTCAATAGCCTAACGGAAAAGTGTGAGAAAACTAAACTAAACTCCTCTTCAGGGTGTACAGTACAAGATGTACTGAGCACAAATTGTAACAAAAGAAATTGTGATTAGAAATCAGGAAATGAAAGTCACTATGAGGCTGATCAAACAGTGGGACAGGCTGCCCAGAGCGGATGTGGAATCGCTGTCCTTGGAGAAGTTCAAAATTTGCCTGGACACAGCCCTGAGGAAGCTGAGATAAATTGGCCCTTCTTAAGAAGGGTTAGGCTGGGTGGCTTCCAGAGGTCCCTTCCAATCTTACATTATTCTGTGATTAACAAGTAATAAGTGAAGATTGTAAAATCTGAAAATCCACCCAACATGTGACTCCCAATTGCATATTACACAGGAAATGGTGAACATGAAAAGTAAGTTAAACTAAGCAGCCAACCATCCCTGAAGATGCTTAAATAAGATAATTTTAAACACTACTTATATTTTTTTCTATTTCTGTGGAGCTTGAACATCTTTCTCAAACTTATCATAAACCCAGTGTAGGGAGGGATTTTCTTTTGTGCTGGGAATATCCATACGTTCATGCTACTTCAGCATTTCTTAGAAATTGCAATTGGTATAAATAAGAACTAGTATTAGTTTAGTTTAGGGAAAAGTAAATCTGGAAGATGATAATAACATTTGTCATTGCTCATCAAATGATGCAATGCTTACATAATCAAATATAGTGTAAAGGTAAGCAATAATTTACATTTACTTTTTACTGTAAGTATCAATAAGTCTTTAGATTTCTTTGATTATATTGAGCAGTTGGCTGGCAATGTTAATCTATTGCTGGCTGTGTAAATACAGACTAGAGAAAAAATATTTCAAATATACCAAAACTGATCTTTAAGCATCATATATTAGTATCTGTAATGCATAAATACTTTGGAAAAAATATTAAAGTTGTATTTGATTGTAGTTACAGTGTTTGATGAAATTACGTCAGCCTGAAAGACACTACAATTGATTTGGTAATGCTAATGTATGTTTCTTTTCAAATGAAAATCACATGGCAAAGGCTGTAGGTAGTAAGCTGAAGTTTCATGTAGAATTGCTGCAGCAGTGAAATGATTGTGCCTTGAATATCAACATTTGTTACATAAACAGAATCCTGTAAGTTATTCTTAGTAGCTCTTTCTTTTTCATCGGGGAATAAACTTGTTTATAAATGTTCATGCAGACCTATTTGTTTGTTCATATACCTGGGACATGTAGTCAAAGTTATAAAGTTCTTCTCTTTATGGATATCTTTTAAATAACTTATGGCTAATATTTTAAAATAAATTTAAGATATATGCTCAAATAGTACATATCTGTTATATTAAAACATGGTTTCCTATAAAAGATATCCTAACCATCATTATTAAATATCAAATAATAGTCTCAAGAGGAACCGAACAGCTGTATTTAATCAGAGCATGTCATTGTATTGTTGCTGTATTGCTTTTTAGTGAGAAAGGTTCAGAAAGCAAAAACTAATACACTAGAGTTAGAATCATGACAGAATTATAAAAGAGTATCCCAGCATTGTCAGGCAGAATCTGATCTCTTGGATTTACATCACATCAGTAACACAGTTTCTCATAGGGACCTACAGATTTGATGCATTCACCTTCTGCTGGTGTTAATTAGGTTTAAATGAAGCTCCCATTCACTGTAACAAAACGTTATTTCATTGTAATATATTTATGTTTTTGTATTATGATTTCATTAACTTCTCTCAGAAATTCATTAATCTCTTTCTTACTGTTTTCATTGTCACCATTACACAATGATACTTTCATTAGCATTTTCAGAAGTGCTTGAAAATGGAATCATTAATGAAATCATAGTTCCAATGGAGGCAGCTCTTGACCTTTTCTTATATTAAGCATACGTTTTTCTAAGACATATTTTATAGCTTTGATCTACCTGATCCAATAAAATTGAGGCATTCGAAAACTTCCTAATTACCAATGAGTGATAGCGTGATGGGGACTGTCAATCTAATGGAACTAAAGAGTTATAAAACAGATAGGATGTGTATCACATTTATATTCTAAAAAAAGACTGATCAAATGCATACTAGTAAAATAAAGGAAATTCAATTACAGAAGACCAGAAACTTGCATTATCAACAGTATCGTGCAATCCCACAAAACAGGAAGGAAATCAAAAAAGGAAATGTTCTTTTTAACTCTGCTTTATAAGAATATTAAAAGTTATTAGAAAGAAGAATACATTTAAATCTAAAGAGGTATTGAAATAATAATAAAATAATTCTTTAGATTTAGAGTAAAATTTTATATTTTACTTTATCAAATTACTTTACAAACATTAACTCAGACAAGTCTAACCATCCTTTACCTGAAGATGAAGGGAATCTCTTTAGTAGGCATTAGATCAAGGCCATTCACTGACATTTGCAGATAGAGATGCTTAACCCTAGATAAGTCAAAGCAGTCAGCTAGAAAACAACTAAACAAAATTTATTAGAACAGAACTTCTGGCCTTTCTCTGTTCTAATATACTCAGATGACTGCTGACAGCATCAATTACCTTGAAGAAGTAACTTTGGGGAGCAGAGCCAACAATGCTTGTTTCTCATCACCTAGTTGTCCTGCAAGGGGTGTTCATGTGCATGGATCAAACAATGAGAGCGGGCTCACATTGCTTTCTTTCATTTTGGAGCGTTAGTGTGAGCACTGCCTGGCCACTAATTTTCATGAAGGATTTAGGAACTAAAAAACAATGTCCACTGAGGTGTCAATACTGACATCAAATTTAGTTGAAAGGAGCAATTTGTATCGAAAGCTAGTAAGCACCTCCTTACACGCAAAGGAGAGAAAATAAGTATAAGAAAATCAGGATACAAGTGAAATATACCACAGCTAACACTAGCAACCGAAATGTCCTTAAGGCAAAAAATAAGGAAGTTTGAACAAAAAAATATAGGGATGTCCATAGAGTATGAATAGCAGATTAAAATTGGAATAAATTCTCTCATCAGACTACTAGGACATGCTAAGCCACCAGTTTGTAGTGAAGGTCCTCCTATGTTGGAGGACCATTCTTTCTCTTTGAAGCTATGATTATGAGCATACCAAGAATTGCCAGCACCGTGCTGTCCTTCAGGACTTCCATGGAACCTGAGCACACGAAGTAGATTGCTTGCAGGGCATCTCCCTGCCGGAGGAGGTATTCCCCAGGAGCACAGAAGGAGGTTTTGATATGCAGAGACAGAGACCTGAGGCAACCACGGCTGGCACACTCGAAAAGGGAGAGCTGCAAAATCTCCTTGTTCAAGTGCATGGTGATGTCTGAACGCAGCTCGTCCGGGAAGTCTTTTAAAAGCTGTCCAAAACATAGAAAAAGGGGCAAAAAAAGTGTAAAATAATTTGTTTCCTCTTTCGCAGAAGTGATCTGAATTAGTAGTGCTGCACATGTGCTGACGTAATGATTTCCCTTTGATTTTTCTTATTCCCTTGATAAGACGTGCGCTGTGTCTTAATAAACCTTTATGCTGATAAACACTGGTAAATTCCAGGAACAACATGAATAAAATTACTCTTTTTTACAGAAACAAGAAAAAAAAGTCAACAACACTGTGTGTAGGAATTCTCCCTAATGAACAATTTAACCTTGTCCAGGTTCTTCTCAGCTGCTAGAATACAGTAGGCTGTTCAGGTATATACCACTGTATACAGTGGCATATACGCTGAAAACAGGGCAAAAATGAACTTTAGATTTCTTTAAAATGCTTGTATAAAATTCATCAATAGTCTATATTGCTGCTTATGTGGTAAAACCACCAGAAGAGGAATTACTCAAAAAAACCTCTGAGGGTTTTTTTTGTGCACGTTGGTTTTTTTTTTTTAATGATGCAATTGGACACTGAAAGAGAGGTGGAAAAGGGAGGGCGACAAGGTGTATGTTCAGTGGAAGAACCTGTGGAAACTAAAAGACCATAAAGTTTTCCTATTTTTCTTTCTTAATTTTACACAAATTCCCAATATATCCAGGACACTTGATGATATCTATATGTTTTACAGAGGATCCGATGCAGGTTGGCAAAATTGAGAGAAACACCTATCTGCTCAGAGATAGTCTTCTGAAAATGACATATAACTGCTCAAATCATCTTTCCTTTTGGTAAGCCAGCACAAAAATTTCAGGTGGAGCTTTTAATAAAATGTTTAAGCGGTTTCAGGTGTCAGTCCCATTGATGCAAAGAATACTGCCTGCCTATGGGCAGAGCTCTGGACCATGCAAGCTGCAAGCCCACGCAAGCTGCAAGCCCACAAGCATATTTTTCTCTGTAGTTTGAGGCGATCTGGCAACTGAGCAGAGCAATCAGTCAACACCTGACCAAGTGGGCTTAAACAAGGCAGTCTGCAGATGGAAGGCAAATTATGATATACTGATGGTCTCTCCAGAGGTTGCTGTTGTAGTACAGCAGTCACTTACTTTTACTGAGACTAAAGGTATAGAATGTACAGAAGCTGAAGGTGATCCTTAACCAAATCTAGGAAAGCTTTGATGTCTAAGTGATTTTTGTACCTTTGTAAATCTTACTAGGGTCCTTCTGTTGCTAGGATGCTGTTGGAAATCCCATTCTTTGGCCGTGCACACCACAAAGAGAATTTATCAGGAAAAGAATGTTCTCAACCCCAAATCTTTCTGCTTATTTCCACATTATCTTTAGAGACCACTGGGTTTTATAATGACATATATAACAAGAACTCTGAAGGGAACGGTTCATTCAAATAACACTCCAGCAGAGAAAAGCCATTATTTCTCCTGGAGTGTAGTAGTACATAAACTGGGTAAGTCATTTAAAACAAGCAAGCAAAGACACAACCAGAAATCTGCCTTGATTTCACTCTCATATTACATTCTGCAATATTTAAAAATATAGGGAAATTAATATCATAAAAATACAAAGAATAAAAGAAAACGGAGGAGGGAGGAAAGGGCAGTAAAGAAGCCCCTCCTTTAAAAAACACCTAAAACCAGTAGATTTTTTTACTTGGTGAAAGGCAAAAGTGCTCACTGGGATGTTTCTGCTGGCATTATCCAAAAGGTTTCCAACGAGTGCCCCCTCAGCATTTGAGAATTATGGAGGACTGAATTTTTGACAGAGGATAGGATGTTCTAAACCAAATTTCTCAATAAAATACCGTCCTTCTGGGATAGCCTAACTTTATTTTTAGGCATGTTTTTTTAGATATGTAACTTCACACAAAAGACAGCAACACAAATGGAAAATCATTCCCCTCACTTGCTCTAAGTCCATAGTCAAAACCATCAAACACACAACTTCTCTCATTTGGTTACCTCATTGGAGTCAATTCCGTTATTGACAGACCACGTGGTTTGGAAATATTCAAGCATCCTTTGCTTTAGCTGCTGTGGCAGGTGATGGACCCGTATAAAGTCCTTCAGATCCTTGGTTCTTGTGTGATAAAGGGACCATCTGGAGTACATCCTTTGAATTATGGCAGTCACATTGCCAAACACCAAGGCATGCATCAGAGCTAGGGAAGACAGAAATTATGTGCAATGCGGAGTGACTTGTTGATCATTAAAATGTAACACAGATAATAGCCAGGATCTTCACAGAAAAAGTTTCCTGATCGAGAGATATAATAAAGCTTTCAAATATAGAACTCCATGACTAATGTACATAGTATTCATACGATTATTCATTTCCATTTTTTGTGTCACTAGAAGTCAGAGTCAAGGGACAGTGTAGAAATACATCCGATACTATCTAGTCAGGGTACTAAATGAAAGAATGCCCAAGCCAAGTTAAGTTCATAGTCTAAGGAAAACAGATGAACACCTTTAGGGAGGCATACTCACAAAATAAAAAGAAACTATTAATTGGTATGGAAACTAGACTCAAATGGTCAGTTAGAAACTACATTGAAAGTAATAGATTACAGGGAACTCATATAAATAAAAACAATTGCTAATGGGGACAATGTGTAGTGGAATGAGATTGCAAAGAGCATTTAGAGATGTATCGTATTCTGGGGAATAAGGTGTTAAAAAAGGACAGAAAAAAACATTGTAAAGCAGAAATTCAGGCCAAAAAAAAAAAAAAGAAAAGATAAATTCAAACTGACAATCTGATTTCTTATGTTGCTTGAGAAGGTCAAATATGGTGTGAAATTGTTTGTCAGAAAGTTCTGACATCCTGGAGTTTGTCAGCAATTAGAAACTGGCTTGGGACCAAAACGACCAGAAGAAAAATTGATGAAATGCTTACAGATACAGGTCATCTGGGTTTGTCTGTGCAAAAATGTGCTTGCTGATTATCAGTAGTGGGAAAAATCACTGCTAGATTGTCTGTCATGTGGTATTGATCTGAGGTATATAATATACACGTTTACAAATTGTTTATTGAGAAAATTATTAAAGAGCTTGATTATTGCTCTTAAGGGACATCTATCTTTATAGAGCTTGAAGGAAAACAGACTGACTCCTCAGAGTGGCAAAGGAATTGGTTTATAAACAAGACAAACAAGATGTTGACCTTGTATGGCAATTTTCAGAAGTCCAGCATGAGTGAGGAGAGACACGGGGGAGCAGGAGGAGGAAAGGATGGATTTTGGTGGTTAATAATGCTTTACATGGTAGAAACAGGCAGAAAATTCTTTAGTTTGGAGTGTTGAAAATTTTTACAGACCGAGTAAAACACAAAAGAGCTAGCAACAATATCTATGTCTTTATTGTGAAGGGTGTGCAGAATAATCGATAAACCACTGCAGTGTGATGTAGTTTCACAATAGTAAAAGAAGATAAATGAAAAGCAAGGCAGAAAGAAAAGGATCAGATATGAATATTAGAAAGAAAAGTAAGTATAATTTGAAATTTATTTCTAAGAATAATCACCTGGATCAACTAAGTATTGTTCCTGATGGTGCACTGCATTGCTAAGTCATTAATGTAGAAGCTTGGGCAACAAAATGTGAGAGACTGGTGTCATGGTAGATACAGGACATTATAATAGAAACATAGCAGCTAGGGCTGAAACAACACAGCCAAACACAGCTAATTAGGCTAAAAAGGTAGTGTAGCTTCTTTAAGAATATGATAACCATTATAAAAAGGGGGAAGGGATTAAGCATTAGGCCGTGTATGGATGCATATGTAAAAAAAAATCACATGTGATGCAAGTCTCCCAACAGGCCCCAGGGTTAGGAGCTGGACGGGGTAGAGATCTCTGTGATGTTATTACAAACACAGATATAATCAAGATTTTTATTATTACGGAAGAATCTGTGTTTGCGTATGTATATTGAAAGACAGCTTCTACTGGTGATGACGAGCTATTCCTGGCTGTGATAGGCATTAGATTTCTTTATCAAATAATTGCAGACCCACCCTACTTTACTACTTTACTTTGCTTACTTACTACTGTAAGAAATCTATTAATCCATTCTCTAAAACCAAGTAGGACAAGTTAAAAACTACTAGGAACCGTATTTCATGAAGTGGCCTTGATTTTAATGGATATTCTAAATTACGTTTTTGTTGGTTAGGGGACATGGGAATATCTCTGATCACAGAAAGGACTGGAGCTACTAGAATGGGGCCTGCAGTCTCATAAATAGAAAACTGCATATTATTTGCTCAAAGAACATGGAGAACATGGAGAATAAAAGACAACATTTGGTATGGTCATCTGCAGGAGGACAGGTCTGATTAATATTTTACAGATGCTGGGTATCCTACGAATTCTGGTTACATTTTAATAAGTAACCTTTCTTTCCAACATGAAGAAGAAACACTGTACAGAATAAGATGTTTTATCTTCACAATACTACTTATCTTAAATTGTCATTTCAAATTTGTGCAAAACAAAAATTAATTACAAGATGCAAGTAAAAATCAAACGAATATTATAAGATATTTATCTCTTAAGTTAATACTTTTTTCTGGCTTCAACTTTATTTAAGGTTGCAATAAATTAAGTTCATACTTTCAATTTGGAGTGACACACATTACAGAGATACAGATGAACTACTGATAAACTAAATCACACTATACGTTACACCTGAAATTTCATAAACTAATGGCTCTGTCTACAAACTGTAAAAAAGTTACCTCAATTTGTCTCAGGATATCACTTTCCACGACAGTTAAATATCAGCCAAAATTATACATCAAAACATGTTTCAAGAAATGAAAAGCATTATGCCCTAAAGTATACAATTACTTTATTCCTAATAGAGTTTTCTTAAGGTGTGCTCACCAGTCTGCATTGTATGATGCTAACTCCGTCTTCAAGTTTCCTTGCTCTGCTGAATTTCTTAAATAGCATCTAAAATAAAATTCCTCAAGAAAATACCTGTAAATCAGCCTGCTCTGTTTTTTTACTTGGATATACCTTGTTCACTGGACTCTCACTTTCAGTTTTCAGTTCCCCCTTACTGCATTCAGTTGACTCATTCCTCAATATGTATCCAGTGTACGATCATATTAGTTCTACCACTCAATAATATAAGAAATAGAATAGAAACTGCTATAACTGGACTAAATAAATGTGTAAGATACTTTTATATTCTATCCTATTATGTTTGTGAAAGCTCTGCCATATCAAAGTGAATTAAATATTCATCATTGCCTTACACAGGATATCGCTTGATTTCTTGATAAAAATGAAAACTCCTTCCTTCATTCCAACAGATTTTATGTCATGAAAGCCCCAAAGCACAGATATGACATTGTATTTTAAAGCTATAATTTTGTGCTACCACCAAAAGCAATTAATGAGCTGCTTGTGGTTTTGTGACATTGTCAAAATCAAAATGATATCATTCTTGGATGATTCATTGTATTATTGCCACTCATTTTCACGACTGGGAAAAATGACAATAATCCATTGAGCACTTTTCATACCACTTAATGCTGCAAATATATAGTTTATGGGTCATTCATCACGTTGCCTGGCTTTCAAGTGTCAAATTGCAAATTTATTTTTGCCCAGAAATATTTATGCTGCAAAGCTGACAACAAGTGCCTTACTGACTAGCCCTGGAGAAACACCTACTAGTATTTCCAGAACAATTAGGCAGGTAGGAAAAAAAAATAAAAATAAGCGGAGCAGTACTTCAGCAGTGATTTGCCTTTACCCTTTGGCCCACTGTTACATCTTTGAGTTGTATGATGTACACATTATGAAAAAGCACAGCTGATTTTTTTGTGGAGGAAGATAAAGGTAAAGAGAGCTGCAGGTACCTTCTTTAGAGGTCTCTCTGGGCTGGTCCTTCTGATAAGGATATGCATCAGCTCACAGCCAGATCCAGTGGTGGGCTGCCCACCTCCCCTCGCCATCATTCCCAGGGCTGCTGTGGGGACTGAACTGGAGCTGAACATGCACTTATTACCTGGCTGACTGCAAAAGTGCCTGACGTATGACCAAAATCTCCTGGCACATGGCTAGGCCACACTCACTGACAATAATGTGAATTTGCATTTTACCAGGTGACAACCGTCTTTTGTCATTCTAGGCGAAGTTAGAAATATGTCTGCTTAAGAGAGTTTATTTAGTGTAAAACCGACAAGTTATTTCCTTCTCCTGCCATTTTAAATTAAGCTTTCTGTTTATTTTTTTTAAAGAAACTCAGCAAAGTTTCAGCTCTTATTTTACTTATCCCTACCCCCCAAAAAGTTTACAAGATGCTTAGCATTTTTACCTACCCCCAATCAGCATTGTGCAAATGGAGAAGATCTTTTCAGCATCAGTATTGGCTGAAACATTTCCAAACCCAACACTGGTGAGGCTGCTGAGGGTGAAATACAGGGCAGCTATATAGGCACTTCTGATTGATGGGCCTCCTAGCGTGTTATTCTCATAGTAAGGAGACTCAATACGTTTTCCTAGCTCATGAAGCCAACCTGAAAAAGAAAAGCATAAAAAGAACTATTAAGGAGTACTGACATCATGAAAACTACGCATTCTGTCAAACAAAATAATTCTAAAAAAATTATTTAGAAGAAACTGCATCCCTCACACAATTCCAAGAATAAAAAGAACATTAAATTGTAGGAATTTATACAGCAAGTTAAGTATTATGTCTCTGGAGTATTTATTTTTATGCAGAATTATTTGTGATAAGAACTGTATTTCTGTATGGAAATCAAGTGGTTTTGAATTGTACATTACAGGTCTAATTAGATAATTCACAAAATCCATTAAGGCACTGAAAGAAAAACATCATCACCTAGTAACACTGCAGCAAGAATGCACCATCAATTTGTTTCTTTCCATTAATTAATCCTTGGAAAGCTCTTCGAGATTCTAAGACTAAATTGTTATAATAATAATTACATATTTAGAGCTTTTTACGTGTTTCTTTTTACAGTAGAAAAGAGTCAAACAACTAAACATATCTTGCAAACCAGCATTCATTTTCAAAATAGGGTTCAGTAAGTGTTTTCTAAATTGTTCATTTAATTATTCCTTTCATTTTGTTAAATGAGTCTATGTGTGATGGAGAAAGTAGAATTAGCTAATCTCTCATAGATATTTAAAACACAACAAACCCACAAAAAAACCGCAAAGCAACAAACCAGGAAAAAGTATGCAGTTCCTCTTTTGCAAAAGGGAAATAAATAACCCGAATGAACTGCATAAACACAATGCTTCACAAAAATCAAGGCAGGGAAAAAAAAAAGATAAAAAGAATTTTTGTACCCAGTTTTGCCTGTTAAGCAGTTTGCTTGGGAGATTGGGAATCTTTGCTGCGTATTCGAGGAGAACCACTGAAACAAAATATTCCTGGCAGGCGGGGTTTTATTTTAGAAAAATTGGTTAGAGGCCCCCCTGTTGTAAGCTGAGACCTGACAGACTGAATCACTTCCTGAAGCTTGTTCTCTCTCCACTTCAATCAGCATCCAAGCACACACTGGGGGAAATCCCCTTGTACAGAATATCTGCAAAAGCAGGGACCAGATTTGAAGTATCCCTCCCAGCATTTCCAACTAAGCTGGGGAATAAAGCCTTCAAGATTTTACCACCTACACCAGACTTGTTGAGCCACGGCTGCCATCACAGACAGCCACCCTCTATTCCATGCTCTCTTGCATGCTCTCCTACAGAGAAAGCTAAGCCAGAAGGGTTGGGTACTGACAGTATAAGGTCTAGCCATGACCCTGCCGACCCACCCTATGAAGGTCAGTGAATTTAATCAAAAGCGTAAATGAAAGTGCTCTGCATTGTCTTAAGATGGCAGTACTAAGTGGCCTGGTTTACCTTGCCAACAGACAAGAAAGCATATGAAAATCTTGATTTTGCCTTGATAGAAAGTATTAATCACACGAGGCTATTTTATATTTGTGTCTCCTAACTATGTAAAAAGAAAAAAAAGCAAAACTGAAAAAAAGCCTAACTGAACTGTACCAGCCCTCTGGTAGTAATGCACTATTGTTTTTCTGAGATTGCACTACATGACCCAAAAATAATATGGCTCTTTGTACAGTGAATTCTATTCCTATGCTCATGTTAGGGAATCTCATCGCGCACATTAAAGAATAAAAACCTAAGAAATTCCCTGGCAGAGAGTAGAGTGGAAAAAGTGTATCTAAACTTAATGTAAAGAAATAAAACCATAAAGTTCAACAACAGGTTTTGAAAGTATTCTGGTGCATAAGAACTGCAAAACTGAAACAAATTAAATAAGTTATTTAAAATAACAGTCACTGATGCATGAATACTGAAATAATGCCTCTTATGAGAAAACCTTTTTCTTGGGAGCGTTCTAAAAGCCACTGGTTCTTGGCTTCTGTATTGCCATTTTTTTGCCTTTTGTTATCTGGATGAATTTCACATTCATTGTTCCTGGTGGTCATATTGTATCTAATTGCAAGTTTCTCCACCCCAGTTTCAGCTATCAAACAAAAAAATTGAATTTACCTATTGTAACTTTACAGGTAACATTACAATCTTCCCTTGGTTTGGTGCTTGCACAGGATTGAGCAGTTACAGCACTCCCTATAATTTGCAGATTCATTCTATACTCCTACTTGTTTTCTTTATGTGCCAGTGATAAAACCTATACAAGCAAAACGAAATCCTTCGTCATCAGAATGCATTTTTAAATGAAAATCGCCATGTACCCTGAGAACAATGTTGGCTCCCACTGCTGCAGTCCCTGGCCACTGCTGTTAACTTCTCATTTCAAATCTAGAGTCAGGCAGTGGGAAGCTGCAGGTTTGCACGGGAAATCACACCACCCTTTCATTACATAGCTCCACACTCCAATCTGCAAATGATCATCTGATATCTCCATTTTAAATGGGGAAAAACTGTTGCAAAGATGCAGTTTCATCATGTGTGCCCAAACGGCACAACTGGACAATAAAATGCAGGACATTAGTTTATGGTCTTTCCAAAATGAAGATAAAAAAACTTATACATGTAAGAGGAAACCTGAGGTGCATCTATATGATGTGTCAACAAGTACAGGCTACAAAGGAACAGCTCTGGCCTGGAGGCTATATTTGAAGAAGAGAATTAGCTGGCATTCACAATAAGTAAAAGTTAAGTGGCAGTGTGCGAAATTTAGACTAGAAAGTCTTCAATATTAGTACAACAGAAATAAGCATAATGGCTGCATGACAATGAGGAACAGTTAGCATTGATTTACTCAGTCTTTATTTTGCTAGCACACTTTCCTGCAAACAGAAGACATCTGAAATGAGAAAGAAAACACATAGGATAAAGGAAAGACCTTTTTCTCAACCACTGAACCTCTGCTTAAAAAGATTAATCATTCCTGAAAAATTTCTCCTAAAAATTTTTTTTTCTTATTTTTGCATTTTAAAATATGGTCCTTAACAGAGTATATACTTTATTATGATGTATTTAATGACTTTCTTTTCTTAAACTAGAAAGACACATAACATAGGTATGAATGAGACTGATAGTGTGAACTAGAGGAACATCCACTCCAGTCAAATCCACATAGTCAAATTTTGTGGAGGGAAATTCTTGACAAGACATAGAAAAGAAATGGATTTAACTTGGGCTATATGAAACAAAGTTTTATCTTAATGGCCTGTGGCTGGAGTCCTTGTGGTAGAAGCACACAAAACCACTCAAGGCTGCCCTCTGTGACCCTGGGACCTTGCTGCCTGGGAACTACCATGCATGCAGCAAGTATGGGGATTAGTTCTTCAGATCGACACATGGCAGAGGTATCTACCTTCCACAAGTCACAGCATCACTTTTGTCTTTCCTTTGTGACACACTAATCGCGTATTTTAAAATCTAATTTATGTCTATTTTAATATTTTTCCCCTGTTTTTCTTCATCTGGGCCATAATGCTTGGTACCATTCTGGTGCATTCATTGCACCAGTTTATCCAGATAATGAAGAGTTAATTATGTCAACCTTGTACAAGCAGATTATACTTAACCTCTGGGCTCAGTGGACTTTTATGTGCCAACAGAAGTGAGGCATGTGGATGACAGAAAGTACAGAACATTTTCTTCAGATATACATATGAAAGTTTATACACTTTGGCTTGATGAATGCCCATATTACACACAATTAAAAATATCAAAAATTCCCTTTAATATGTAATCAAAAGGGAAAAAATGACCCCTTTTCTATCAAGTACTTTATGCCTCTTTCTATTAAGTACAAAGATAAAATATTTGGAGGGGAAAGGACAAATTTTATAAGAAGATTTCATGCTTCGGATCTGAGATGTTCATCTCTTTAAAGCCTACTGCATAAACCAAAATAAAGCCTGCATTCATGTAAGTGCTACACGTCATTTAAACATCCACATGAAATCGCTGACAGCTTATTTTGGGGAGCTTGCAAATAATGCAAAGACAAGAAATATTTTGAAATTAAAAGAACAATTGCTGAGAGTTTCAAAACCATGCCCTTCTCAGAAACAAACGTTGATGAGACATCTCTCCAAAATTGTATGTGAGGATTCATAAGCAGCAAATTTTAGGATTGTTGTCATGATCAGAAGTTAAGTGGAAACTAGGAATGGATAGATTCAATAAAAATGTCATTTGACTTCCATTGCAGAGAAACAGGATAGAATTTTTGTTACATCTCTTCCCAAATTAACAAATTAAGTAAGAGATAGGCGTGTGCCAAAATCAAACCTATGCAGCTTTCCAAACTAAATGCATAGTCCCTTTGGTTAGAGCATTTTTAGACACAAGCTTAACCTTTGCCATGTCTACCAAAAATCTGCTTAATTTGAAAGGTGACGTCCTATGTAATTCTTTTGTAAGGCTGACTAATATGCTTTGTAAATAAATTGGCTGTTGTATTTCTAATTGAATACAGACTTAGAAGCTACCGTAAAAATAATGACACTTTGTAGAGCTTTAACTCATGTAACTTGACAAGTCGTAACAAGATATTGACACATTGTGCTCACTGAAAATGGAGTTTTCATGGTGCAATAAATATTAAATGGACTAAGTATTTCAGGAAGAAGAGATGCTCAATCAAAGGTCTAAAAAAAAAGAAAAAAATCTAAGACCTAATTAGAATATTGGTGATTGATAATAACAAACACAGCTGAGCCCACAGGAGTGCTGAAAGCCTGACAATTAAGCTTTAATTATCTGAGAAAACTAAAGTCTAAATTGCAAGTATCACTGCTTAGAAAAAGAAAGTCAAATTTCTGTATTCTCATAGCAAAATTGATGTCCTCTTGGAGATACCGGCAAAATTTCTTTGCGGGGAGCATTTAATATCTTGTCATCAGCAAGGTGTGGTCTGTTGAATAATTTGCATTTTCATTTTGAAAGGCCATACATGCAAGGAGAGATACTTTTTAGTCCTACTGGAAGCTTGTAATCCACCCCAGTGAAGACACTATAAGTGCATGGATTATAATGCAATTTCCAAAGTCTCTCT